TATTAAAATTTTGTTAAATAAAAAATTCGGTATAATTATGGAAAGCCTCCCGAAGAGAAAAAAAAATTTTCCGTTCGAAAAACATTTCTACGAAAAATTGTTTTTTCCTTATAAAGTACATGAAAAACTTTGAGCGCTTTGAGCTACCTCTAAATATTTTGTGGTTTCAAAATAAAAAAAAAAAACAGAGTATAATTTTTTTCGGTATAAAAAAATCCCAGCGGGTAAGAGCATTAAAGTTCCGGCTTTACTTCTCTTGGATCAACCTAATGTACACACATATAGCTATTAATAGAAAAAGAAAGCGAAAAAGAAGAAGAAAATCTGCGCAAACAATGTAGAAACTGCTAAAAAAGAAGCTTTTGTGTTTGAATCGAAAGAGGAAGTGCAAGATGGAAACGTATTGCGAAAGGGAGGAGAATAGCTGGTGGGGCGAAGCAAGTACTGATGATTTATTTATTTTTTTTTTTTAATTAAATTTTATAACTTCTTTTCCTCGTTCCAACAGTTTGTTGTATTTCAAAGGGTTCACTATTTCGTTTTTATTTTTATGTGTAACTATTTATGTATGTTTGTATGTATGTTTGTAGGTACCTACAAGCAATAGTGTTGCAGGTGAAATGGCTCACAAAGAATTGAATAACTAGCGCTTTTGTGCGGTAATAGCGAGTGTTGCGCCTGTGGCAATAATTGTGGGTTGCAATAATACCGTTGTCAAATAGCTCTTAACAGCACATACCTACAAGCATTGATGCTATTCATACATATGTATGTACATATGTCATATAACTATATATAAATAAAATATATACATAAACAGTCAAATTTAAAGTCAATGGTACGAACGTACGCATTTGCTCCGCTTATTAGGGTGGTTCAACATCTTTTTTTGCCAATTCAAGAATTCAAATAAGGAGACTCGTATTTTTTTGAAATCGATTAATATTTAACCGTGAGATTTTCCATATATTTTACGTGTGGAAAATAAAATTTTTTTCTGGAATCGCTACAGAATCCTTATCCCGCCGCTACTAGGCGCATACTTAATATGGGAAAAATTAAAAGGAATTGGCGTAGAACCTCAATTTTCCGTATGCAACATTTATGTGCAATAAAAAATTGGCGTCAAACAATGCAAGCAAAAGTTAACGTCGAAAAGCCTGGAAAAACTTTGCCATTGTGTTAAGCGACTTACGAAAGGTTCGAAGGCCGAGAGAAGCTCCTAAAAGAACAACCATGGCGACCTAGTGACCGATTGAGGGACCACTTCCCCACCCTATTGCATGACAGCTGCAGTGAAGGTAGTGAAGAAGACGGACCCGATCCACAGTCGCTGATGATGGAGTCAGTATTCCGCCGCCTTCCTATGACGAGGTACGAATAGCAATTACGAGGCTGAAAAACAATATATTTAGCTGCTGGAGTTAACGGCAAACGATGGAACGATGTGCTGCTATATGAGCTGACTTGGTCATGTCGTACGATGGAAACGCTCCCGCTCTGAAAGTATTCAACGCGGGTTGCTTTGTTGGTAACAGATGGTGTGGAAGGCCTCCTCTGCGATGTAAAGACCAGGCGGAAAGGACTGGGCTTCATTTGGCGTTTCCAATTGGCGTCAGTTGACACAGAAGAAAAACGACTTGCGTGCTTTGTTGGACTCGGCCGAAATCGCTTAGGCAGTTATGGCGCCAATCAAGAAGAATATGAGATGCACAGCTTTTTTTTTTTTTTAGGCTCTTCAGACCAGTAGTTAGAGAACACGGACTAAAGCGGTAGCCGGCGTAATATTTGCTTGGTCACATTTGTGAGCACTTTTTCAAGATCAAAACTTGAAGGCAGTTAAAATTATTTAAGGCATACGAATAGGCGGTGTCTTTTATATCCTGTTGCTGCCCCAGCCACCAGATTACACTATGAGTGCTCGATATTGGCATCTGGCAATGATATTCGTGACCTGTATTCGAAATAAGCCAGGTATCTCCGCTGCCTTTTCGCTTCCCGCTCATAAAATAAACGCTCACCCTATTCATAGACTAGAATAAATAGGTCATGCTGCGACCCGAAAATATTAGTAGCTACTTTTGACAGTATTCTTCTCCGCGAACGTTACTGCAATTATCAAGAATCTAGAGACAGACATGATTCTTAAATCGCTCGCTGGCAATACTTGAGTCAAGAACAAAGACACATTTTTAAACTACGCTGCGACTCTTTGGACTGCGGCGTCTAACTAGTTGTAGTGAACTGAACTTCACTCTTTAAGAGCAGTGCATTCCGGACAGTAAAGGGTTTCTGATGTCATCTGAGCAACAACTGCATAGCGAAGCTTCAACACAATCTATCCGTCAAACAACACAAGTTGGTTCTCAGCAAGCAATTTATACTACCACTGCTCCCGGCGCAAGAACCTCACTTTTTCTGGGCCTACATACCTTTATTCATTTTGTTGATAACGATCGATATTTTAGCCGATCGAGGCAGGGCTTAGTAGTGCCGCTACAACAGCAACCACTTCTCAAACATTACATTCTGCGAAAATGTGGTCAATAACGGTTTTAAAAAATCCTATGGAATCATAAGTCACCTTACCCCTTTTCTATAAATTTTTTACGACCATATCAAGACATCTAAACTATAATCCATATTGAAAATCAACCAGGCTAGGGTCCCTCATTAAGCTCAGTTACCATTGTTAAACTTTTATAATCAAATCTTATAAAGACTAGTACTGTGAGTATAGGAAAAATTATTTTCCACTTTTTGGGCCATTTATAAACCCGTGGGAAATTAAAAAATTGTTTACATGCTTTTTTGAGTTTTATTCTTCAACAACACAAATTATGGATTTTTTCTGCGTGTGAATTACTTATTGTCGCACGGTGTAGTAGTTACTCTCGACAGAACATCCTAAGCAAAAGTTAAATTCCAAGTTCTGGTACACCCTAATGTGCACTTTTGCCAGAACTATTTGCTTCGCTGAATTGAAATTAAACCACAAACAAAAAGTAAAAATATCAAAGAATTTCGCACAATACCTAAGAGCGAATATAATCCTATTAAATTTATTTTAGTATTTTTTTTTTTAATAAGTTATTGTTATGGCATTACTGGTAATTGCAGTTAATGTCTGTATGTATAAAAGCTAGTTCGTACAATACACAAAAGGATTGTTGAATTAATAAGCTCAAAGCGAAATAAGCCGTTGAGTTTCAGTTTCAAAGTGCACTTAAATATGTATTTGCAAATTCGTAAAACAAAAAATGATGAGATAATAGAATTTTAATTTATAATTACCTTTGAGCCTTCCACAAAAGTTAATAATGCAATATTTTTTTCTTGCTAAAATACATACATAAGTGGTTTTTTATTCACTTAAGAGTGTATAAATTAATAATGAGCTTCTTTTCACACAAAAATATCTCCGAGTACTCGTATTATCATTTTTTAGTGAACAAGAATCAGAAAAATATAAGTGGCAGTAGTTTTACTAGAATTATATGCGCAGTATTCGATAAGAAAGAATATAAAAAGCCGTTTCGGTATTATACAATTTGAAAAGCTCGCTAAGATTTGTTGGTTATGTTAGTTTGAAGAGGTTGTCCCAAGTATGTAGGTAACGTAGCTAAACTTTTTAAAGATTATATTTTTTGATATTTCTTAAGTTTGTACGGCAGTCAGTAGGGCTGGGACTATTTGTGTAATCAGATATCTGGATATCCCTTCGCATATTGGATAGGTCCTATTTCCGTTACCTTTTTTTGAAGTGGAGGTTGGTTGGTTGGGAGTAAATTGGCAACGGTGAGTACGTAAATAGATAAAGAAAAGGATAAAGGCAAAGTTAAAAATACAAACAAAAGCAAAGACGCGTACAGATTAATGCAAAAATGAATATCAAAGTAAGTTTAAACACTTTACTCATATGTATAAGGGCAAAGGTGAAGGGGAATATGTAGACGAAGACAATGATAAACAAGGGTAAATACAAAGAAAAAGACGAGAATGAGGATACCGAAAAAAGTAAAGATACAGATAGAGGAAGAAAGATTAAAATAAAAGTCATTATAAAGAATAGGATATAGATAGAGACACAGACCCAAGCTTTTAACTATTTCGGAATTTTTGGCAGTCCCGGGACTTACCGATATAATCGATATTTTTATCGATGGATTTATTTATTTGGGTACCGATATTTTATTTTTGATTTTGATATCGATTTTGTTTTCGATATTGTCATCGATTTCGATATCGATATTAATCGATTTTGTTAGCTATATTTTTATCGATTTTGTTATCGATATCGAAAATCTCGAAATAGTCCCGGTAACCCTAAAAATGATAGAAACCTCGAAGTAGTCTCGAAATAATCCCGGAAAGTCCGAAAGAGGCCCTAGAATCTCGAAACCCCTGAACTAGTCCCGAAAATACCGAAATAGTCTCCAAAATCTCGATATAGTCTCGAAAATTCTTGATATCGCAAAGCTGTCTCGAAAATTCTGAAATCATCTCGAGAATTCCGAATTTTTTTTATTTTGTAGCGAGTATTTGGTATAGACAACGTCTCTAAATACTTTCGTTCGCGTGGGCTAGTGAAAAAGTGAAACTAACATCCATAATGCAGCAAATGCCCATATGCGAAGTGCTGAATAATTATAATAATCAAATTACCGAAATGTTCCAATTTTTTACCTGTCCGTTTCATTTGAGACACCCCATATGTACTACATTTTAGGTTATGCAGTGAACCCGTTTCTCATTAAATCGCGGGCGTGCTAAGAATATTCATATTATTTTAATTTTGTCCAAATTAAAACTTGAATTCGCCGTATCTTAACAAAATCACTCAAAGTGTAATTATAGGAAAATCAACCGAATTATTTATTCAAATTCCATCGACACAAAATTCTATTGTGGTTGATAGATAATCAAAATGCGCGTATTTTTGTAAATATTCCACCTATATATATCTGTCATACTAATGCCAACAATCATTGACATTTCAGGCTATACAGGCAAAAACTGTCAATACGAATCCGATCCATGCAATTCGGCTGAATGTTTGAATGGCGGTAGCTGCGTTGGCAATTCAACACATTTCAGGTAAGTTCACTCATGACAATTTTGAGCGGTGAGCGTTGCGCTGAAGGGTGCTTGTCACAATCGATTACGTATTTATTACTGGAATTGATTGTGATTTGTGATGATATTGGCAAATGAAAATGCACACAGGCAATACTCGTACCTACGTACAAAAATGCATTGAAGTAGACGTTTAAATTTGTTTCTTTTTCTGGTAGCTGATAAATATGTATGCATCTACATCAAAACTTAAACTATAAACTACATATATATAAACATTTTTACATCATTCGAAATAAGAAAAAAATTTACACAATCAAATAAGTTAACGCAGAAAAGGGCCATTTATTCACTCGCTTAAATTCAATAGACGCGCGTACTCGTTTTGCGAGGGGGTGAGCTGTTCGGTGGGAGAATGAAAGCGAATTTTCAACCGCAAATGCACAACACAACCACCACAACATAAGCATACACACAATGACAAAAACGACAATTAAAGCTACAACAGGTAAAACAATTAAAGCCACAGGCGACAAAAACAACGACTATGAGTTTGCCTATGTGGCATTTAATTGTGCAATAAGAGAAGCGAATGAATTTATTTGTGTGAGTACGCAAAAACATTCAAACATTTATACGTACAAGTGTACATTAGGGTGGTCCAAAAAGAGTAAAGTCGGAATTTTCGTAGAAATGGTATGGAATTCTTGAAAATCAATATTTTTCGATCGGAAAACTAGGATTCTCTTCAGGAGACTTCCAATAATAATACCCAATTATGTATTTAACCATTTTTAAATACTAAAGATTTTTTATTGTTGACCCCATTGCATATTTTGGGGTTTTTTTTGGAGTTTTTGGCGGACCTATAAGTTATAGTTACTATGAAAAAATTGTTAAATAAACAATCGGGTATTATTGTAGAGAATCTCCTGCAGAGAAGCAGAGTTCTTCGAACGAAAAATATTGATTGTTAGGAATTCTATACCATGTCTACGAAATGTGGTTTTTCCCCCATATAAAATACATGCAAAACTTTGAGCGCTTTCAGCGACCTCTAAAGGTTTTTTGATTTCAAAATAAAAAAAATAAGGGTATATTTTTTCGGTATAGAACAATCCTAGGGGTGAGAGCATAAAAATTCCGACTTCACTTTTTCTCATGCATTTTTGAACCACCCTAATGTACGTATACATATCTAAATATGTATGTACATATATATGGCCGCGCGTTATAAATAAGCTTTTATAGGCAAATATACAAACTTGCAAACAAAAGTATTTCAAATAAAATAGTTAGAGCACATATTTGTTAACTTTTAGTTGGATTTCCAAGCAAATACATATATATTTACATACACACACGCGCACATAAGTACATACATATGTGTGTATCTATGTAAATAAGCCTCAAATAGCGCCGCTAGCATTTCATTCACCCTCACCACGCGACCACCACCAACAGCACCCTCGCCATCGCCACCGCCACCGCCACCAACTAACTAACCGCACCTGCATAGAAATGCATTTAAGTTGATATATACATACACGCATATGTACTCACGTATCTTTTATGTTCTGTTTATTTTGATTTTCACTATTTGTGTGTGCTTAACCAGATGTGACTGCACTCCAGGCTATAACGGCCCACTGTGCCAACACAGCCTCAACGAATGCGAATCATCACCATGTGTACACGGCATTTGTGTGGATCAAGAGGATGGTTTCCGTTGTTTCTGTCAGCCGGGTGAGTATACAATATTGTTTGCGAAATTTCATTGCTTTTCCACGGTTACTTTACTCGGCTTTGTTTTCTGTTTGGGCTTTGTTTTGGTTGCATCGCTGCAATAAGAAATGACTTTTTTCGCAGTTAAATGGTATACTTGTCTACGTACAGATGGATGCAGCAAACCAGATTTGTGTACGTTTGTATATACATACATATGTACAAACATAATGGAAAATAAGGTGCATTTTAGGTAAAAAAATATGCAAACTTAAAGCAAAAGGAATTTAAAAAGATACCAATCTAATCTAATCTTTCGTTTCTCTGGACCTGTTCCGAAAACAATAAACAATATATACATACATATATTTTGCTCTTTGAAACAACAACTAAAATTAAAAGAAAATAAGTTGGAAAAAAACTAAATTAAAAAAGAAACAATAAATAAAAAAAGTTTCTTAAAGTTAAATATTTAGAATGTAAAAATGTATAAATATTTTTTCTAACAAAATCCAAAAATTAAACTAATATTAAATTAAGAAGAGAAAAATAATAACATGAAGAAAAACAGAATATAACAAGTTTCTAAAAATAAAATGAATTTAAAAAATATTTTTGTTTTAAAAACCACAACAACTAATAATTAAAACGAATTAAATTTAAAATACCTAAATTAAAATTTGTAAATTACATTAAAAACAGGTTTTTCCTTTTACACCAATAAAATCTAAGAATTAAAAGAAACTAATTTAAAAAATAGTAACATTAAAGAAAGAAAAATAAAACAAGTTTCCAAAAACTACATGAATTTAAAAATATATTTTTCTTTTTAAAATAAAGACTAAGAATTGAAATTAAAAAAATATAAATTTTAAATTTTAAATTAAAATAAAATTAAAGGAAACTCAATTGAAAAACTTTACAAAAAATTAAAAACTAAATTAAATTAAAAAAAAATTAATTTTCTAAGAACTAAAAAAAATTAATAGAAATTAAAAAAAAACTTAAAACTATAAGATCTAAAAATTAAAAGAAAATTAAATGAATAAGAAAACATTAAAGAAAAAATACATAAAATAAGTTTCCGAAAAATTGTCTGATATTCTCAATATACATTTTTTCTTTTAAAACAATAAAAGCTAAATGTTAAACTAAAAATGAAATAAAATAAACTTCTAAACATTTAATTTAATTAAAAAATACATATATACATACATATGTTTTTCAAAATAATAAAATATAAAAGTGATAAGAAAACTAGTTTCAGGAAGACAAAAAGGGACATTGAATATTAAAAAAACAATATTTTTAATTTTAAAACAATAAAAACTGAAAATTAATAGAAAATTAAATTTAAAAAAGGATAAAATTAATTAAGACAAATAAATAAAATAAGATTATAAAATTAAATGAAATTTTAAAAAATATTTTTCTTTTTAAAACAATTAAATCTAAAAATTTAAATAAATTCGATCAATAAAACCAAATTATAAAAAGTAAACAACAAAATATGTTCCTAAAAATTAATTTGAATCAAAAAATAAAATCTTTTCTTAAAAAGAATAAAATATAATTAAAAGATAATTAAATTGCAAAAGAATTAATTTAAAAAGCAAAAAAAAAACAAAATAAGTTTCCAAAAATTAACTTATTTAAAAAATATATATATTTTTTTCTTTTTAAAACAGTAAAATCGTAGAACTAAAAGAAAATAAAGTTAAAAAAAAAATATAAAAAATCTATCTAAAACAAGTAAATTAAAATCATTTTTTTTTTTACCTCCCACTTGTATTATATATGCGTATCTCAAAAACTGCTAGACCGAACTCGACCAACTTTGATGCACACATTGTGGTTAGCCTCCTTAAACACGGTGTTGCATATCTTTGAAATCGGACAAAACTTACTCTCCCTAAAATTTAGCTAGCTTTTGAGTTTTTTTATTTTTACCGATATGTACTCCACGAAAGTGGGTTTTGTCCAATCTCCGAAATATTCAACACGGTGTGTGTATCAGATTTGGTTGGGATCGGTCAAGTAGTTTTTTAGATACGCACATATGATATAAGTGCCACGCTTATTTTCATAAAATTTTATCAAACAATATTTTTTTGCTTAAGGGTCATTGTATATATAATTTTATTTTTGTAAATATTGATGAACTTCTTAGACACACTGCTCAAAAAATCACAAATAAATTCAAGGGCGTATTTTTGCTTAACTTCGACAATTTTAATCGAATTTCATTAAGTGAGGTATCGATTTATTTGAAAATAAATGTTCTTTTAGGTAAATACTACATTTCTGGCAACTTTGATAGACATTTTTGAAATCAACAATGGTCAAATTTGAAAAAAATAAGAAAAATAGGGTCTTATCAAGGTTTAACCGATGAAAACTTCCCACAAGCTAAGTCTGACAATATATTGTTATACATCGTTTTAAAGGTCTATAAATCTTCTTCTCCAAAAATGCTTTGTTTTTAAAATCGGATGAAAAGTAGTCAATCTGTTTAAAAAAAAATAAAATAAAAATGGAGGGTTCCGGAACTATACGGAGCCTACTTTTATGTTGTACTCGACCATAGCTGCAACTTACACTAGGTTTTGTTTCGGTGTATTTCGTGACATTTTTTTTTGTATTACCGCGTAATATACGTTCTAAATATAAAACGAATCGAACCATAAGTACGCATTTTCCAAACATCTAGACCCCTGCGCCATCTATCGAGCAAAATAGTTTTAATGCATCCAACATACA